TGAATAGAAAATGTCTCCATGTTCTTTAAACCTCGATATTATTTTTTCCGTAATATTAATAGTTTTTCAATTAATAATTATTCTCCCACCATTAATCCACTTCCATTACTAAAATCCATGAAATTCTTCATACAAATGAATTAATAATTAATAATTAATTACTATTATTAATACGGGAGAGGGAAGAATTATTGAGTGGAGAATATTAAAGATTCTTCACTTATTTTTTATTTCCGGAATTAAAAAAATGTCTACGTTCCTCGAACTTTGATATTACTTCTTCATTAATGATAATTCAATTCGTAACGATTCTCCAATAATAATCCACAAATTTCAAACATCGACAACTCCCCAAAGCGCCTAAAATCATAACCCCCAATAATTCCCTCACCCACCGACATCTGAATCCCTTTATTTACGATCCCTCGATACCCTCCACCGCGTTGTTGTCCCCATATCACCCATTCCAGAAGGATTGGCAAGACCCCAGGTGAATTATCGGCATCTCGTGGCAGTCATGATCGGTAAGTGGTGCGCGCGCACTTCGTCGCGTTTCAGTGGCGCCAATCGAGTGCCGAAGGAACGCGTGTATCACCGTCTCGGCTCAAAACACACTCATGCAATCCCAATTTTTCTCCCCCCGCGGACTAGAACGCGCCGGAGATTTGCCCATTATGCTAGTGTGAGTAGACCTGCGCGCCACCCGGCACATATGTGATTATTGATAGCCACGCGACGTATTTCGTCAGATTTAAGGTACCCGAGTTATCCCACGCACTGTTTCAACCACTTCCATCGCTCCATTTATACCGATTTTCCGTCAGTCGGGGCTGTATCACGCTCCATCGAAATACATATTATTCATATTGATGGGGGATTTCAATATACCGTACGTGCAACACTCTATTTAACGCCGCTATTACTCCTTGATAACAATAATTAGCGGACGATTTTCCCACGAATTTGTCGATACACCGCCGAAAAAATTGTCTACCCACTGCGGGAAATTCCGGCGATAGTTTCATGAGAAAATTTTGCCTGGAATTGCCGGTCTTTTATTGACGGAAATTCGCGACAAATTTGGTTATAAGAAAGGTTGAAGTAATTTTAGGATAACTATCATTTTTATTAATTCACATAGATATTTTTTGTCTTTGTCTATAGACATTTTGACAAATGTATAGACAATTTTTGGTTCCTTCGGCAAAAATTGCCATACGGAACGGTATAATTTATTTTACATATGATAAATTTTATTATTTAACATCATTTTTTGTCAAGCTTCGAGTTGTAAATCTCCATTAAACACGGTGGTTAGCCTTCCGGGACGGTGATTTTTACGAAAAAAATTTGTCCGTGCGCGCGATAGGTCGGGATAGTACTTTTTAGTTTCCTTAACCATCTAACTGAACAAGCGTTTTTCCGGCGGAATTCTACTGTCGTATTTTCCCAGATTGGTATTCTCGTCCCACCATCGCCAGATGTCTTGACAGATTCTGAGTACCTTAAATTGTTAAAAAAATGGATTTATTACTTAGTTTCTATTCATACTTTTTATTCAACTAATTTAAAAGTAATCTTTTGGTAATATCTCATGGTCCAAGGAGGGTACCGGAATTATTTTGAGAATTTATTATTAGGTTTTATGATATTCACCAGAAATCTGTTCTTTCCAATTTGGTAGCGAAGTGGTAAAACGGTTCAAGTCAATTTCGAATATTGGCCAGTTTCCAATGAATATCTCGGAATCTAAAGAGATAGCAAAATTTTTCTTATGACCTTTTTTGCAGAGCCGATTGAGAGCTACAATAAATGTAATTACGAAAATTTCGCTATCTCCTTTAGATTCCTCAAAAACTCAAGGTGAAATTTGAAAGTCTTCGGTTGATGACTAAGTCTAAAGCAGAATAACAATGGAAAAAATCAGAATTTAACTGCAATATCTCAGGATGACTACATTCCCTTTTTAATATAAAAATATTTACCTGCAAAATTGATGCAACACAAGGGATTACCCCAGCTTATTCCGTCGAAGAAAAATCTCCCCTCAATGATTTTCCCCAGATCCTATCCAACTCTTTGGAATTTTCATCTAAAAAACATTCGGAGACAGCGCGAAGAATCAAATAGAGAAATCCGCGGGTTCCATACTTCCCGTGCCGACTCCGTGGAATCAGATGAGTCGTCCTTTGAGTTTGTTACACTCCCCGGCTACCCGGGGATAGTACAACGTTGGTAAAAGGCAAAAGAATACAACGAAGGTGCTTGATTTAGTGATACGCGGTACACTGGGCGCCTTATGCCATCCCGGTAAAGACCCACAACTCTCAGCGTTATAGTGGAGTCTGAGGAGTGATTCATTTCGCGGTAATTACCTACCGGTCCGCCAGTCAAGATTAGTTGTCCGACTAATGTGTCGGGTGAGAGAGAGATGGGGCATTAAAGGGAGATGAGATGGGTTATACTGTAGCAAGTGAGATTTGTGAGTCTGTGTTCAGCGACGTATAATTCAAGAGCCCTGGTGGGTGCCCACTGTCCGCTGGGTTATTATATCTATTGAGAGAAAAATTGGAGAGAGTCGTCGAATCACTCGACGACAATTGGACGGTGGATTAATTTTTTTATATATTTTTTAGGCTGATGGAAATTAATTCGACCGAGTGCATGCATTTTTTCGGAAATTCGAACTCCTCGGCTACAATTATATTATCAAATTCTTGGGAATTGTCATCGGGTGACTGTTTCATTGAAATTTCAAGGAATTTTGTCGTTGGAAATTGATAATCAGGCGAAAGCAAGTGGAAAATTGCTCTTGTGTTGAATATAGTATAGTTATTTTTCATAATAAATTAGCCGTATGCTTCCGAATGGTTATTTTACACATCATTTACTTGGATCATGTATGATTCATTGCTTATTTCATTTTATTGAATTGAAGACGATTTCTATTCAACTAATTTTGTCGGATTTTTATGATAGTTTAATGTTATCATCATTAGTCTCATTATGCCTTTTTTCTATACAACCGATTGTTTTTTTTACAGTTCTCTCTTCCCCTCAGCCCTTCACGTATTTGAATAAATTTCAGGAGCGAAGCAGTAAACCGGGTCAAGTCGATTTTAACTGTTGGCCAGTTTTTGACGAATATCTCGGAATCTAAAAGAGATACAAAAATTTTTGTCATAACCTTTTTTGTAGAGCCAACTAAGGGTTACAAAAAGGTCATGAACAAAATTTTGCTATCTCTCTTAGATTCCGAGATATTCATCAAAAAATGGCCAAAAGTAAAAATCGACTTAACCCGGTTTACCGCTTCGCTACTGATTTGAAACATCACATTTGAAGAAACCATCAAAAAGCTCACTTTTAGGGAAATTCATGAAAAATTCGAAATTTTGGCAAATGAAATATTGAGTTCAAATTTAAATTCCTTTGAATTTCCGCTGAAATTTGAAGTTTCAGGATTTTTTTCCCATTTTTTCTTTGATTAAAAAAAATCTAAAACACAATTTCGCTCTTCGATTACCCAGATTGTACACAAATTTTTCGTATAATTTTTTTCTCTCCATACAATAACCATTCGCACCTTTTTCCACCGTGACATTTTCAAATCTCTCCCGAAAAAAAATACCAAATCGTTGGGAGCGTGAAATTTGTCCAGGAACTCACTAAAAAAACCCCTACATTATAGCTTTTGTCAATGTAGAAACAACTCTTCTCCGAGTCGATACGTCTTCGTATAAACTCAAACATTACAGTCCTCTGCTCACTTATTCGACAATATTTATCGCATACACTTCGACGCAAATGCGAATGTCTTCCTGGGTCCGTGGGAGTCGATAGTTTCCATGTAGCCCATTGTACATCCACCTATACCATGTATCTATGTTTCAGGGAGAATGTCAATTCGTGATGTCGATGAATGGAGAAAGAATGATCCATCAAAATTGAAGAATGCAGAGTGTATTGTTTATCCATTCGCTCTGTTGTTCATTGTCGAGGGATGAGTTGTCATAATTTTCACGGGAATGAATGGATCATGTTGTGCAGCAGGTACCATTCATCATGTTAATTTCGCCCCATTTGAGCTTTCTTGTTCACTTCGAGTTGCTTTACTAATGGTGGCAATTCAGTTCGTCATGGGTTGGGAGGAAATTTCATCCGCACTGCAGTCAACTGTCATCCCCAGTCGACTATCGACACGTGGCTTTTGTTACAGTGGCACGAGGCGAGACCATTAAAATTACCAATACTCCATCCAAGTTACTAGACGCATCGGAAGTAGATAGAGATTGAGGGAGAACGAAATGTTTCTTGTCACGTACGAAAAAAAGTCACGAAAAAGCTGGGAAATTCGATAGGAAATTCTTTTGGATTTCTGGTAAACTTTCGATCAATTTTTTAACGGTTTCATTGAAAAGTCCCACAGCTTATCTATACAATTTACTCTATTGAGATGTTTTGTATAGAAATTCCTTGTTTTGAATTTTCTACATTTTTTTTGTTTGATTTTTTTAATTAAAGAAAAGGGGAGAAATATGAAGTGAAAACCTTCAAACATTCATGTCGAGAAATTCTTCTAGAAAATGGCTCAATAGAAACAGTCGTATAAAAGAATGAAATTCTACTGATTTTTGCTATAAAATAGTTTTTACTTTAATACAAATCATCACTATCAAATTCTTCGTAAATCGTCAACACTGAACGTCAATTACGCAATTCTGATTGTTTTGACGTTCTTATGTCGCACCCGACCCGGAAAAGCCATTAGGCGATCTGGTATGTTTCTCCCATAATGGGAGAAATATGTCACTCTACTATTGAGAGGCCTAGTTCATATCTATATTGATTGTAGAACTGGTTTATCGCTGAATAATCGTAAGAAGGTTTGGCACTTGCGACAGATTCAAATCGTCTCTGTCAATACCGTTATCAGTTATCCAAAGACTGATATGAAGGCATAAAAACTTTGGAAACTTTGGATTACCACTAGTATCACCATGTTGGCCAAGTATCTTGTGTTAGCTGTGCTGCTTGTTCACAGTGGGTAACCAATTTTTCAAATCTCGAATCTTGTGCTCAATTCCACGAGCACAAGATTCTTGAGAGAATTTCTTAATTCGAAATTTCCTCTTGTCTACGTTGTCTTTGCGCTTCGCTGCGAAGGCACCATCAAAGAATATTGGAAAATATTGTTTCCGTGAATATTCCAGGTTGTCAGGCCGTGCCAAATGGCCACGAAGTGCTGCAGCATCAGTACCCATTTCAAGTAGCGATTTACACTAAATATCCCATACTCGGCAGGGAAGAAATGGTCTGTGGGGGTGTAATTGTAAATTCTGATTGGATTTTGACGTCTGCTCAGTGCATCTCCAAGTGGAAGGACATGGTCGTCAAAGCTGGGAAGCACAAGCTATCCGCGAAGGAACCACGCCAGGAAGTGCGATCTGTTAAGAAAAGTTTCAAGCACAGTCAATATAAGTGAGTTGAAGGCAGAATCTTTTTTCGGGTTTGAAGAATAATTTTTGGCAAATTAAGAAGCCGGTGAGAGACGAATAATTGTTCTCCAGTTAAGAGCGAAGTTGCATTTACTTGATAAACTTTGTTTAAAACGACGTTGATTTGTCTAATACCGTGCGGAGAATTGTGTTGAACCCTCTTGCTTTATAAAAGTTGCATTCATACTGTCATATTTCCAAACAAGAAGAATAGTTCTTTAATTGAGAATAATGTTCCTGATTCAAAGAATAGTCTTCTCAATTCTATATCTCTCATTTTCAATCTCTTACCAAAGTTTACATTCGTCCTCTTGGGCAGCAGCAAAGGCAAGGACTTTCCTGTCTTCTAATGATATTGGTCGCACTTTTTCATATCATCCTGTCTTAAAAGAAGAAGAATTGTTCTCAAGTTAAGATTGAGCCAGTTGCATTCTTTCGATAAACTTTGTTCATAACAAAATCGATTTGTCCAATTGCCATCTCTTGCTCTACCAACCTCGTCATGTTCCCAAACAGGAAAAATTGCCCTTGAATTGGGAATAACAGTCTTGATTGCAGGAACAGTCTTCCCAATTATCAATCTTTGATTCCCCATCGCTCGTCAAATCTTATCTATGTTTTCTTCAAGGCCCGTATACTGGTTCCATAAGATCGCCGAAAACGATATAGCCCTCTTGAGGCTGGCTAAGCCTCTAACTTGGAACGAGCACGTGCAGCCGATAGCTCTCCCGAAAGCCGGAGTGGAGCACACAGGAATTGGATACTTAATAGGCTGGGGTGGAGCTGACGCTGATGAAACGTCTGATGTTCTTCAAGATGGCAGAGTATCCTTCTTGGATTCCGACAATTGCACGAAAATCATCAAGAAGAAGTACAAGGTGAAGCCTATCTCGAGCGACCAGGTTTGCACCGGATCGATCGACAGAGTCTTCGTCTCGGCTTGTTCCAAGGACCTCGGCGGACCGGTTGTGCAGTACCAGGCTGACTCATCACCACAGTTAGTTGGGATCGTCTCCTGGGATGACTCGTGTCGTAGCAGAGGTCTTCCTACAGTCTACACCAGGGTGTCAGCTTACGTTGGCTGGATTGAGAAGACTGTCCGTAGCCCGAAATTTGTGAGAAGTTATGGGTGAAGGCGATCGTGACAGCTGATGACAGCGGTCATTTCCATAATGATCGATTGAGATTGAATGCATAAATAACCACTTTGATTAAATTGTCAAGGATGCAACCTTTCGATAGCATTTTAAGCTCACTCATCTTTAGAAGGATTCAGTACGAACAACAGCCACAACTTGATAAAGTCAATTTCGAAGCACATTATATTAATGATAACCATGAGAATAAATCACGTCATAAAGATCACATGTACCAACTTCCTCATCACAAATGTAAGCAAAGAAAATCCTAATGGTGAAGTTTTCAAATAAATATCATACGCTATAATTCCCTGACTATGTGACTAATTCCTAAAAAAACCTCATAACGAATAAAAGTTATACACTAATGTCGCAAATGAACAAATTACCAAGCGCTAAAAAACGTAATTTTAATTAGTGAAGTGGCTATCTTGTTAGCCGATGTAATAGAATCCAATAGGCGATAAAGTGGCCACAACACGTACGGTGCATTAACCCCTTGAGTAGTTCGATTTCTTCGTTACATAGGTTCGATAAATACAGGCCCATGGCGGCTTCACTGCACTAACGAGCTGAATTAATTTATGTCCATTGAGTCCAGTGTGGGGGGCTGAACCCGCTTTTCACTGACTCGTAATAACGAGACACGTACCAGGACAATTTGAACAAGTTAAATATGTACGTATGATGCATGTACTTGATACTTCAGGGTTATTATTTATCGCGGGAGTCGATGGGTTTCGGGGGGTGGAGATGAGAGGAGTTCCCACAGGTCCACTCGCATTTCACATTGTGTGTCACGCAGCATATTGATGCTGTTGACAATGGGATGGGGGATGCGAAGAACCCACCAACACCCCCGTGCGTGAGGGAGGGGGACAGCCTCATTGATGGGTGGGAAACCATGACCACCATCTCATTACTGGTTCCCATGAGGCCTGATCAGGGAATTGTTGATGGAGTCCCGGTGGACCCCCTTGATTCACCAACGGGGTGCGTCGTATTATGTAATTGTTGAGCGGCAGTCGTATTTTTTGAAATGAGTGGGTTGTTTTATGTGAGAAAGCAAATATCGGGTCTCGTGAGAGCTCTTTTAGGGAGTTTTTTTTTTAAATGGGCAATTAGGGAGGCAGGATTTATCGCGGAGAGGAAAATTGGATAGAAATTACACTGTTAACAATTTTCGATGGAAATTTTCGGTAAGGGTCTTGGAAATTTGTAACATGTAGTATGTCCACTGTAATTTTAGGGGATTTTGCCATTGAAAATTCATAATTTCAGGGAATAATGTGCGGGGATTGGGAATTTCAGTTTAATTATTCCGGGGAAATTAATGAAAAACCTGGAAGAGTCAGAGAAATCCCTCCTTGAATTCCAGATGACTTTGAATTTTAAAAAAATTGAAAATTTAAGAATTTAAATTCAAAATTCTTGGAATTTTAGGAATTTTTGAAGGAATTCTCTGAAAATTCAAAGGAATTTGGCAGTGAATATTTATTTTCACTTGAAAATTGATGTAAATTGGGGAATTTCCGTCTTTCAGTCGCTAAAAAATTTCGGGCTTCAGTTGAATTTTCAATGAAAAAGAAAAAGAAATTTTGCAATGACATTGAACTAATTTTCTCATTACAGAATTTTTTTCTATTAATTTTCTAGATTAAAGAAAAAATTCAACAGTGTGATATTTCCGAGACAATCAATCTCATGATCGATTAAAAAAAGAATCAACATGATAAAATGTAGTTCGAAGATAATTGAATTGATCAACATGTATTGACAATACGTATGTTTGAAGATTGAGATTTTTATTACTCGTAAGACGTAATCTCGTTCTTCATTGAAAAATATATTTTCATCCCGCTGATTCCAACTGAAAACCAAGAGCTATAAATGAAATATTCATCACTGCATATTTACATTTTAGTGTCCTTAGTTTCCTGTAAAAATCTCTGAATTCAGTGAGAAATCCTGCAGATATGCAAGATTTCCAATGATTTAAAAAATTTCTTCCTTGAAAATCCTACAAAATTGCCGAATGCTCTAATTTTATTCGAAATAACCCCTAATTTCAATTCTTTTGAAAAAAAAATTGTGCTTAAATTACAAAAATTTATATTTTTAACTTTCTCCTTCGCCCGAAAATACATTTTGATCCTCTTAATTTACAAAATAACACAAAAAAAAACATTTTTTCCAACGCAAGTAATTTCTGTGTTCCTGTCAAGATCGTAAGACACCATTTCCTTGAATTGAAGAAATACTTTAACAAAAACTTTATGTTCATAATTGAATGATTTTGTTACATCATTGTCACAAGGAGAAAAAACCTGTTTTCAAAATAATTCGGTAAATGCGCATAAAGACTCCACCCCTCGCGACTGTTCTGCAAGTTTGTAAGTTGATCCTAAGTATTACTACAACAATAACTGAAATATAATTTGCAAAAGGAAAATCAAAGGCTGCGAAATATTATTATTACATTTTCACATCAATCCCCCTACTCCAAAAATAACCAATTTGAATACTCCCCGAGATATGCGGCATTCAACCACCACTATTTCCCCTTTAATCAAAGAAAAGTGGTGGATAGCAACTGCTGACGACTGTTGTTATCGTGTGCTACCATTGTTAGCTGATAGCCACAGACAACTGGGTGAAACGATCGCATGTAGGTATCGGCACGTGGCCCCCACCCCTTCTCAAGCACTTTAGCCACAGAATCCTTGTGTACAGTATACATTATTCAATTGCGGGGCCCGTGCAGCAAAACCCGAAGCGGTACAAATGCGTCGGGAGTTTTAATGCCAAAGATATATCTACTCGATATTTTGTGGCATTGTTCGGGGGCTTTTTATCTCAATGGCACTCATATAGCACGTGCTGAGGTTCAAAAAATCTTGGAGAGATAATGGTGGAATTGTCGGAGTATATAAAATACACGATTGTCTTCGGTGGATTGTCCTCACCTTTTCCACAATCGCGGTATTCTTAACGTAAACTGGTGCAAGCGGTGGCTTCAGTGTCATTGACACCAGCGCTGTCATGCCAGTGGCACTTAGTTTAATCGTCTAGAAATCCTCTGTATGACGCACATCCGGTGGGCTTGTGACGATGGACCTCTTGTGCAAATCGGAAGGAGGAGATAACGATGAACAGTGGAAATAAAAATCGTCGTGGGGATCTTGTGCACACGCTCAGTGCCACTCGTTGCCAATCGGAAACTGGTTGTTTCGACACTCGCCCCACCCCCTCTGTCAGCGGAGACCATTCGACGATAGCACGGGGCGAGGAACGTGCAAATTAAATGCAATTCACTGTCGGATCTGTCTAGCCGGAAGCTCTCGCTCACGTTTGTCATTCTTCGGGCTGGAGAATCGGGGGAGGAAACGTTTTTTATGGGGGAGGCTTCAGGCTGAGAATTATTGAAATGGTTTGGGGGTGGGGGGCTCAATGCTAGTTTATTTATTATAATTATAAGGTGGTATTAGGTTTTTTTTTAAGTAGGGAAAAGGCGCGCTACGCGAGTTAAAGGAGTTTAGGAGTCTCAAGTTAAGTCTTCATCATAGATGCACGGAGAGAAATTTTTGATAAAAATTATCCTACCGTTCTATAAAACTGTATCATGAGTCGTCGTTCCCTCATTTCTATCCCGAAATTTAGGAAAAATTAATATATGATGATCAAATTTTATTCTACGTTAGAGATAGTTTATCCTGGCGCAGAATAAATTTTGATTTTCCAGTCCAATTGTTGTTATGTAGATAACAATGAAAATTCTAGAACGGTTGGTAAATTTTATCCGATCGGTACAGTAATTTTTATTAGAAATTTTTGGTGTAGAATTCATTGACCAATCAGTTGATTTCTTGAATATTCAAGTAATTCTCGATTTTCAGGCCCGTACGGCACTGAAAAACCTTGAAAATTGTGAAAATTCAGGCGATAACTTCTCTGAATTTTCAATCTATTGAAAATTGAATTGTATGTGATGTTCAATTTTCACAATGAATGAGAAATGTAGTGAACGTTTTCATTTGAAATTGAATTCAAACTCACAACATTGAAAATTCAGATGACATTGTGGCTGAAATTTCAACAAATTTCTAACAGTGTGCTTGAATTAAGATTATTTCTTAAGATTGAATGAAGATTATAATAAGAAAACATTTAAAATTTGTTTATTATAATATAAAAAATATAGATACATATATCTATGAATAAAAAAATTATATATTATAATTTTACTTTTACAACTCTTTCGACACAAAGAAAACATTTACCTCAGTAGAAATGCGACCAACAACAATGTTTTCGTCCTATCAGCCGTATCGGAAAAATTATTTGCGACGTTGATTGCCCGCTAGTACAGCGTGTCGACTTATGACTCATCCGCGGAACGTGACATGTACCTCAACTGATAACGAGAGAACTAGAAAAACCGAAGACAAAAATTACTTCTTCACTTCGTACGTTGAAAGAAATTTCAGTGGATATGTTACGTATCAAAAATTTCCAAGGCCCTTACCGCAAATTTCCGTGAAAAATTCTCAACAACGTGAGAGCTATTTTTATAATAACCAAAATTCAGTAGCGAAGTGGTGAAACGGTTTAAGTCGATTTTGGCGATTGGACAGTCTTCAAGAAATATCTCGAAATGTAAGGGAGATAGCAAAATTTTTCGCATGACCTTTTTAGTAGCGCTCCATTCGCTCTACAAAAAAGGTTCTCACGAAAATTTTGCTATCTTCCTTAAATTCGGAAATATATCTGGAAAACTCAACTAAAGACCAAATTGACTTGAGCCGTTGGACCACTTCGCTACTGAATTATCAATGAAAATATGCAAAGAAACAAATTCTCGAGTAAGACACCTGGAATCTCCAGAATGTACCCTCAATGTCTCAATTTTCCTCACCAAAACTCAAAAATTCTCTCAAAAAAGGACAAAACGATCCTAATTTCAGGCACCAGTTTTTCCAGTTCGGATGCTCGATGAAAAAAAAATCCAATCAATGATGAATAAAAATCACACGGGTTGTCAGCAGCAGTGCAGAGTTCTGCAGGTTTTCAGCGCGGACACGTGTCAATACACCGTGGGACCGGGTGTACATTCTGTTTGGTGCATTGCACACTAGCAAAAGGCTCGATTATTGGCACGCGGCATATTGCGATCATCCTACTTCCCTCACCCCCTTTCACCAGCGGCTGTGATTCAGTGTTTCCACGGGTAACTGACAGTTAAGTAGGGGTGGCCCTGACTGCTGGCCCCATCCACATCATTGAAGTCGTGTTTGGAGAGCAATCCCACCCCCCCTCTGGGTACACTAACCCTTGGGAATCTCGTGGCATGAATTCCAGTGACTTCCAGCAGCTGGGGGAGCTGCATTTTGTCGCAATTGATATAAATCAAATCTTAATTGGACTGTGGGCTCTTTTTTGTTATCGTTCGGATAGATATACTTTCTTTCTCAGTTCTCGCGTCAATTCATTGGGATATTGCGGGACAGTGGGACTCGGGTACCTGCACGGTGACAGGTTAAGCGGGTGTCCGGGAGAAATGGGAGAATTTTGCCTCGTGGGAGGCTAGTCGATCCCACGTTCTTTCGGCGGGGTGGCCCGCATAAACTCCAGGTGGTGGACCACAATTTTTTCGGTTTCACCGATGACGTCTGACCCGTATTAGTTTGGAGAGTTTAATAGAATAGGAGTTTGGGATTTTTAAATTATTTGAGTGATTTTGGTGAGTGGGGTCATGAGGGGGATGTCTTTCTCATGGACGTCGATTCAGTTTTGGTCAGGGAGCTCATGGGAATGTAATTCCTCTATAAATTGATGATTTATTTATATAAAGAGAGAAATTTCTAGTTCTCAGAATGAAGTTGAGTATTTCTCGTAGAATACGAGAACCTCTTTCGAGTGAAAACTGTTCTTGAAATTGAGGATTAGTTGAAGATTAATTTAGTATTGAGTTGAGAGTTTTAGATATATTTTGAAAGGTACTTGAATTAATAAAAAAAATGAATTAAATGAATGAATTAAAATTCTCTTAATAAATTGAATGAAAAAATTGAGAATTAGTTGATCATTAGTTCAATATCAATTCAGTTCAGGCAAGTACTTGAATTAATGAAAAAATAAGAACAAATTTTACATTTGAAGGATGCAAACGTCATTCTCAGGAATTGCTCCTCAATTTTTAGAAATTAATCTCTAATTTTCACGGATTCTTTAAGTTAACTTAAATTACCCTAAACTGAAAAAAATTAACTCGCTAAATTTTAGGGATAAAATTACTTGATTTCACTCATTCAATTTTTTAACGTCAGATTCTCAAAGGCGAAATCTTATTTTTCTCATTCCTTTAAACACCGGAAAATATGAATTAATTCAATTAAAATCATCCTAATAAACTGAAGCAAAAATTCCTGAGGATTATAAAACCATTGTTTAATTTGTTGGAGAAAATCTTCTCAGAAAAATCCGAAATTTCACATATTTTGTATTTTGTGTGGGGAAAAAAATTGGTCATCAACTCGTGTTAGTCCTCCAAAAATTCACGTAAAACAGAATTCATCACCCGACGCCTGAAAAACCCGCGAGTTAAACCCAGCGTTCAAACTTCTCAATCTCTATGTTAATATTAATCACCCAAATTTCAAGATAAACCTCTACAGAACCCAAGGCCTCCCAATAACACGTTCTAACGTCACCACACGCCTCGCATCTCCCCCGAATTCACCCAGGAAAACTAATAAACCTCCAAATCAGCCGCCAAACTGGGTGCGTAACAGTGATCAGCCTCATGTTTCTCCACGGAATACATATTCAAAAACCATCCAACAACGGAGAGCCCGCTGAGAGATCCGCTCCTCCACTTGTGCGATCATTTACATGAAAATCGACATCGATAACACACGCCGTTGAGTCCCTGAACATAAATTAAGAATTTTACAAGTACCTGCCGAGCCTAGTCATCACAAGACGTCACTGATTTCCCCGTGAGTACACTCATCGATAAATCGACGTTTCTCGTAATTTTCTAATTATTTTATAGCTGTATTCTCGCATTATTCTGTCGTCACAGTTAGAAAATAATGGAAATTTCGTGGACAATTGAATACTAATGGAATTTCAGATTTCACTAAAGATTAAACGAATCTCAATTTTGTTTTACTTCGCGAATTTTTGAATTTTTTGAAATTGAAAAATTAATTTTCCTTAAATTTCCTTGGTTTCGATTAATTTTCATGGAATCATTGAATTAAAATTTACAGTTGCCATTGATTTTTCCATAAAATGTGAAATTTTCAATCATGAAATTCCTTGGAGTTTCAGTGAAACTAAGTGATAAAAATTTGCGAGAAATATGCCGGCAGTTTCAGTGAAATATTATCAACAGTGTAGTGCATAAATGATGAATTGACTACTGATTTCCAGGTGAGTGACATTAAATTCAGTTTAGGGCGAAAAAATCATAAAACTTCAGATTGCACAAAAAATTAAACAAAATTCCGAATTTTTCAATTATTTAAAATTCAAAAACAATTTTCCCTAAATTTCCCTGGTTTCTATTAATTTTCAGTTTACAATTAAATTAAAATTTACAGTCTCCACTGATTTCCCCGTAAAATGTTGAATATTCAGTGACGAAATTCCTCAAATTTTCAGTGGAACTGTTAAAAATTTCCGAGAAACGTACCGGAAATTTCAGTGCAATATTTTCCACAATACTGCATAAAAATGAATAAATAAATAAATAAATAATCATTAAAATAGAAACGAAGGAGACAACACTAAGAATTGCTTCAACAAATCCAATAAAATTCAAAAAGAATATTTAAGCGTAAATCGTGAATTATAGTAAATCTAAATATTGTCAGTAATGTACTTGGTCGGATTGTCCTCGGGAAATTGTTTAATCCCAGGGCTCAATAAAGCGCATTCCCACTACCCTATCTATCACCTTAAAAAAGCTACAACAACAATAGCAGCGTATAAATAAACATTTTTTTTCTCCACCTATTTCGCCTATTGAAATGAAGCTCACTGGCGATAGCACTCTATCCGGTTACTCCACAAGATGATAAATAAAGTGTCATAAAACGTAGTTCCTTCATATTACCATGTGGAAGCGTCACAAAATAACAGTTCGATGGTAACCGTTCAGCGGTGCCGGTCTTCCCTCCACATGCTCTGTTGGACATACGAATTTTTCTGCATTAGAAATTATTATTGAGATTATTACCAGCTTTTCAATGTGAGTTTAATTAATATTATTCGTCATTCATTTAAATTCCGGAAATTGCTCATTTCAATCTTGCAATCTTGATTCCACATCAGCAATCACAGCGCAAATAACAGGCTTTTAATTCCTTGAAGCCATAATTGCGATAAAGTGATAATTCGCGATAATATTTAATGTGACAATAATATAATAGTAGTATTTCTAGCGATTGGCCTTATTCTTACTGTGATGATTATAATGTCACCTAGTCGTGCTATTCAATAGATCAATTGGTATGTGTTGAAATTATTCATTATTATTTGATTGAAAAAACGAATAAAAAAAACTTTATGGTATTTTTTAGTCTCAGTTTTACAACATTTTGAGTGGATATAATATTAAATTTAATCAAGTGTTGAGTGTTAATGTTAATTAAATGGATTATAATCATGTAAAATAGTACAGCGTTAAAAATTATCTATTGAAATCCGTGACCTCCATAAGAGAATCCTCTTCCAAGGGCCTTGAACCATTGTATTATATCGTTTGGCCCACATTCCGATGAAGGCCCGTTCTCTGGCGTCAAGGTCATCGGGAGTATCCAAACGTACACGCGAAAACCAAAGTATTCCATCCACACGAAAAAGTCAATCCTAAATAAATCAAATTAATCGAGATGAGAATACACTTATTTTTACAAAAAATTAGATTCCAGATTCTTACGAAGATGAACACTTCGGACATCCTGGCGCCATTTCTCCTGCTGTTATGCATGAGCTGGGGTGTTATGGGTCATCATTATGGGCGAGATAATGCTGGTCTTCCAAACTTGAACACCGATAGATTGAAATTGATTCATTCCTGGAAATCCCTGGAATTCGATTATCCGGATGCTAATGCACGCCGGGTGGCAGTAAACAGAAAAGAGTTCATTCCCGGTGTCCCAGTTCCAATAGATGTTGATGTTATACGAGGTGAGATGTCTCAACAATGATATATTCATTGAAAAGTAGGTGCTGATTGAAAGAAACCTAATCGAAGGGAATTATTTTGCTCTCTTTTGCGTCAAATGTTAGTGGGACCGTTCTATTTTAGTTGCTGAATACTTTAAAAAGTCGATTTCGTCCCATCATATGCCTTGAATATTTCCCGATGCACTGAACTTCTGTGTAACCACAAAGAAAATGAAAAATCAACTGCGAAAAATCAACACTCATCGCTTTATCCTCAGAGACTTGTTTATCTAACGTCGATACTCGTCGGACAAGTTGATTATCCATCAATCAACATACACTTGTGATAAAAAACTTGTCATTCCTATTCTCATAAAATCGGAAGAAGCTGTGATTAGGGCGGTAACGCTTCCTTCATCCTGACGGGTAATTACCGATGAATATGAAAGTATTAATTATTCTCTCGGTTGCAGGCCGTCTTCCCAAGGTGCTGATAACGATTCCACGGTTCCAAGACGGTGTCCCAGTGACCCTTGGTTATGTTACGAATAAAGTAACCTCTGAGGGCAATCCCATCATTGCGCCATATCCCAATTGGGAGTGGAATAGTCTGGGAAGTTGTGATCACATAGTCAGTGTTTATCGGATTAAGGTCAGAATTAAGAATGATTTTATTGTTCTAAAATTTAAGAAGGGAGCCGATTTTCTATCACAAAACCTTTTTCGCGCTTTCTTTTTTTACTCTTTCCTTCAAAATACCTGAAAATAATCTCTTGTCATAACAAAAAAATGAAGACCATTAGATTTTCAGATTCTCTCAAATCAATCCATGACTTGTTGCTAACTTTAACAATCTTTATATTTTAGGTTGACGAGTGTGGAAGACTTTGGGTCCTCGACACCGGAAAGCTAAAAGAGGATCAGATCTGCCCGCCCAAACTCCTGCTCTTCAACACCCAGACCGACCGCTTGATCTCAGTCTATCGTTTCCCCTCCGATCAAGTCCTCCCTGATTCCCTATTCATAACCCCCGTCGTCGACATCCGCGACCCCCAGACATGTTTCGACACCTTCGTCTACATAGCGGACGTCACCGGATACCAATTGATCGTCTACGACCACAGACGCCAGATGTCCTGGAACATCCAGAACAACCTGTTCCACCCTTACCCCGACCACGGCACCTTCAGCATCGCCGGCCAGAGCTTCGACCTCATGGACGGGATATTCGGTCTGGCGTTGAGTCCAATTCTACGGAATGGCGACAGGACGCTGTACTTCCACTCCCTAGCCAGTGTTGTTGAGGGCTGGGTGCCTACTTCCGTCATCAGGAACTCTTCCGCTTTTGTGGATGACCCGGAAGCTATGGCTAGATCCTTCCGATCTTTTCCGAAAACTAGACCGTCGCAGGCTGGTGCCGAAGCGATGGACAAGAACGGTGTGCTGTTCTATGGGCTGATGTCGGAAATCGCTCTTGGCTGCTGGAATAGTCATGTCGAGTTCGGTGGAGATAATTTGGATATCATTGTTGTCAACAGGGAGACACTTCAGTTTGCCTCAGGATTAAAGGTACAGCAGCTTTTGTTCTTATAGAAAATGAAGACGAAAAAATCAGGGCATTCTAATTAATTACTTAATCTCATTACAGGTTTCAGGTTCGACGCAAGGTAGGCAAGAAGTCTGGGTGTTGACGAGTGCCTTCCAGAAGGTAATGAACGAATTGAACCCAAACGAGGTCAATTTCCGAATTCAGGCGGGTTTTGTTGATGAACTCGTACGTGGGACCAAATGCCAGGGTGGACTAAGTGCTTCAGGTGACAAAGGACCTAAAATTCATTTTAGGAAGCCCGTTGTCCCCCCTGCTGCGTCGTCTTCCTTCGATCCTTCACAGCCCTGGAATCTAGCGCCTATCAGAAATTACTAATGTTTATTCCTCAATGGTAATGACAAAAGGCTATCTTGTCGCAACTATTGTCATGAAAATCCTCATGAATAAAAATCATTCAGTTCGCATGTAATTTACGTAACTCTTTTAGATTTTTCCGCACAAGGAATATTAAAATCTTTTGAAAAAAACTTTGACTTTATCTCTCATTTTATGTCTGGCATTCTCACATAATCAAAAAAGTTTTCACCAATCTCACAATGTAAGGTATAAATTCGGTCCGAAAATCTCAAAAGTCATCAAATCCCAGCAACCCACCGGCTTTCCCAACAATTCCAACGAAAAAAATTCACATAAAGAAATCGATTGCAACAGACATCCGTAAAAATCCGTAAAGCAATCTCCATACGAGGCAATGCGATAGTTTTCCCGTAACGAGCATCGTTGCTCGTGAATCTCGTGCGTGAGTCCAACAAAAATATTCACATCTACAAATATAGAGTCACAGCCATCGATTTCGCAAGCAAAATAAAACCCCCTAGGCAGCCAACGATTGATAAATCGTCCAACAGTATTTTCTTTGTCTTCAACATTTCAGAAAGAAAAAATTCAGCAAATAAAATACCTGAAATATAACCAAGACGGAGAATTATTAATAATCCTTTTAATGAGTGACCATGAAAGATTTAGGACCGCATTAGTATCTCGAGACCAGCCCATGTATCTGGACCTCCTCATTACCGTCATGCATTATTCCTCAGTATTTCTATTATCCTCCCTCCGGCATTCCAACTATTACATCCACCTTGCATGAACTTACAATTTATATTCCCCACCCGTTCACATCAATTACTCACAGGATTTTCCCTTCTCCCCTCCCTTTTCCGAAATGCACGCGCACTATTCTCGCCAAATAAAGAATTTCTATTGGCGCCTTGGGTGCCAACGCATGCGCAGATGAACGACGAAAAAATGAGGGGAATCCCAGAATAACGCGCACGCGCCTCGGCTATCTCATCGTCTCTGCAACGTCTGTAATGCATTATCTCACCTACACAATGAGATTTCAATGCGGATAGAGGTGCAATGAGAGAAAATGATGGTAAAGTGAAAAATTGTGAACACGTGTGTGGTATCCAGATGCACGTACCTACATTCTACCATTACCAATGACCCACGAGAAATAAATGTACACAATGGAGCGATGGTGGGCATCGGTATTGCCCAGTGGCGAAACATGAAATAGTTGGCGGCGGAGGGGGGAGACGCCGAGAGGAGGAATAGGATGCGTTATATTTTATCGGCTGGGCATTATCTCTTACCGATGGAGCGTACACGCGCTACAGAGACTCGATAAAACGCGAGATATACCCGTGTCTGAGATCAGTATTACTGATATTGGAAACCTGATGGGCACAGGTTGATCTCGTCCCGGAGTTGGAATTCTTGCCGGGAGGAAAGGATTTATTATTTAATTTGTGAGGCAAATTGTTTATCATTTCAGATTATTTATACGCTTTATGCCGTTCATTTTGGTAGTAGCATTTCCTTTATCCTGAGTGTATTGTTATTTTTCAATAAAAATCACTAAAATCAAGTGGCCAACTTTTAATTGATTCTTCTCAAATCATAAATTTTTGAAAATTTAAGTAATTTACGAAATTTGATTACTATGGAATTTTTTCATGTTACTCTATCCATGTACAGGAAATAGTATCAATTGCATTTTAAATCGAATTGAGATTTACAATAAACGACAAAAGATTGAACGAACTTTAATAAAATAACGATTACTCGTGTAGGAGTTCGTCAACGACGTCTGTTACAATGAAAATACATCGGGAAAATGAATTAGAGAGAGTATTTGGTTGTACGCAGATCGGCGACATGCAAGTGGGCGTTGAGGGAAGATTCAAGAGTGGTAACAATTTTATGAACCACTTTGGAGACATACAACACCCACATATCAATCCACATCTAAAATCATGAATCGGGGGAAAAAATTGATACTGGGGGATTATTGAGACAGAGTTATTTTACTATTTAATTTACAACTTGTTCTGGGCATTTCGAGGGGTAATAAAAATATTTTCATGTTTCCGGTGTGTTGTGTGCAGCATTGCGCATAACGAGGGAATTTCTTGAGCTGGAGAATTTATTTGATGAAGTTTTTTCCCAGGGTATTAGTTTTATTTTCAATGTAAAATAATGTTTTTTTTATTATCTAATAATTGCGAGGTGCATGGATTGGTACCGAATGGGGGATAGGGAGTGGATACATCCGTTGGTTACTAGTACTATTTGCTGAGAGTGCAGTTGGTAATTTATTCAATTATCGATCGACTTTTCTGATAAAGCGTGAGTATGGATTATGTTTCTATTGCGGTGGTAGGGCACAAATGGAGGTTCTTGGCGAAGTGCCTGGCAATTTGACATAATGTATTAGCTGCGATTGTAAACCATTGTGATTTGATTTTTTTTCGACGGGTGCGCGGCGGTAATACTTCGTATTATGGGATTTTTTTTTGCCGGTGGAGATTTTTTTGCGGTGGAATCGGTGTTGTTTGCTGGGTCATGGGAGATGTCAGCTGTTTGATGAATTGGAAAATTCAATCAGTTCAAATTCGAGGTGTCAGAATGTTTTTCTTCAAACGTGGGCCTTAAAATTGAAAAAAAAAATGAATAAATTTTAATTAAAATCGTGCTCTTCATAGATTTTTAAATATCAACGAATAATTGGTATTTTGAAATTTATTGAGTGTGGCGACTAGAATAGATTCCCAATTAATTGACTGACGAATAATAAATCATAATTATTCAGAATAATAATTAATAAATCAATTGATCCTAACAGATAAAATTTGTCAATTAAATTTAGTGAGAACAATTGAAAAGAAATTGCAGATAATCAAAATAATCGAGAGGATATTTCGCGAAGAATTATTTTATTTTTCATATTCCCTCGTTATGAATAAATAATGAAAATTCTTTGAATTTTCCTAAACATAATTTTTTTAACCCAACATCGATACATGAAAAATGAATGAATGAATTTGTCCATAAATTATTTTATAAAAAGAGATGGTAATTTTAAAAAATTGCATTTTTAAAATATAATTTTATCAATCATTCTCAAATAATTGACCTCATATTTCTCCATAAACTTGAAAGAAAAGGAAAAAGTGCTTGAATATCCTTAAAATAATTTTTATTATAATTAGAAATAAAAATAATTAACCCCTATTGACTCTCCCGAATTACTACACCCGAAGTAATCGATTAAAATACCTTTGCATCCACCATGTTCCCGCCCAAAAACGGAAAATGAAAAGATCGGAATGAATCACCAAGGTGTTGAAAACACCCAACCGCAATTAGGAATGAGTAGTCATGACCCCAAGCACCTCTTGAATTTTTAATTCCCTCAAAACAGGTAAATATCGCTTTTTCAAATCGCCGCCTAATAGACGGAGTGAATGTTCCGCGGTGATAGGTAATAATAAATTTAATTATCCAACCCCGCGCACTCTTGCGGGTCATGCTCGAAAGGACAAGCGCGGCGTGTGTTTGTTGGGGCGGCATTAAAACTTCATACCAAACAATCACTTTACGTGAAAGTATGAAAATCATTCCGCACATACTCCCGATAATGTTCGGTTCATTTGCGTATTATTTTTACATCTCCGCGGGGTATCATTACGCCTGAGTAGCGAAAAAATAGGTGAGGAAAGAATATTTGTAATGACAAAAGCAAATGTTTCACGCTGGTATTTACCAGCTGATAATTGAATAACACGTGATATTTCACACGTATCTGAGTGTAATATTTTTCCACGCAAATTCGTATCGATGATTTCAGCGTTTGGAAATAGCCGGACACTCGCCTTGGGTTATAATGCGTTAGGAAATTCCGCACAATGATATCTAATAACTCGAGCGGGAAAACAAAAGTGAAGAGTATGAGGGGGAAAAAATTGGATAAATTTACACTGCAGATCCAATTGGTTTTCCCGTTGTGGGTAGAAAGGCGCGTGGTTTAATGCGGGTGTATCGACGTCGATTGAGCGGGGGGAGGCCCTCCCGGGGGGCAACAGCGCAGACCGGTGCGTGTCGTAAGATGGAGAATAATGGCTGGTCAGCGCCGGTGCTTTAATATGACGAGAAAATATTGGGTTCCAAGCGCGCTGTATTCTCTTTGAAATATCGACGGTTTTTCTCGTGCTATCGTAAGCTTGTTCATAACGTGAATTGCGGTGATTTTCAATAAACAGAAATTCTGGGTCAGATGAGCTTTTTATGATTTTTTTACTCACTATTAAGAATTGTTCACTGAAATTTCAGTTTAATTATTCCGGGAAAATTAATGGAAAGTCTGGAAAACTCGGAGTAATCCATCCTTGAATTCCAGGTTTTTATGAATTTTCAGGGAATTACTTGAAAAATTTCTGGAATTCCAAGATTTGTAAAGGAATTTAATAAAAATTCAAGGAAATTTGGCAGTGAATATTTATTTTCACTTAACAATTCAGGTAAATTGTGAAATTTCAGTCTTCGATGGGCAGGCATTGATTTAATCTGAAGGGCGACTGGGAACCTATTTGGATTGTAATGTTAAGAAAATTATGAGTTTGCATTGTTATTCCAAATTTTTGAAAATTCTGAATTCTGAAACAAAATTGGGAAATCTATGTTGTCAGATAAATTCAGATGAAAAAAATTGCAATTTTTTGGAGATTACAACCTTTCTCATAAATAATTTATGAACAATCAATTTTTTATGTTAATAATTATTCGATTATTTACCACTAATAATCGATGTTCCTAAATTTTTGTTGATCCTTAAATCACCAGAAATTTCGAAAAAATTCTCGAATATTCATCCTAAATCGCCAGGACTCAATAAAGATCCAATTTTTTCAACTGATAACTGTTTAAAAATTGCAGGTTATAAATTTTCTACCATATTCTCAAAAAAAAAATATACATTTTAATTTTTCTCATCCGTTCAATTAATTTCTACCATTTCAGATTAAAAAGTAAGAATAAAACTGCCAAAGTCACTGCAAAATGTGTCGAAAAATTAATTTCTCATTAATTCAGATCAAACGAAACAGTTCGAATTGAAAAATAAGAATAAATACATTTAAATCATTGCAAAATTTG